CTTTATATTAACATGACAGTGCACATAAAACAGTTAACAGGAAAGATGCATGTAAGGGGTTGGACCTCTGGGCGGAGTCTCACAGCGAGTACAAAATTTTGTTGTAACAATGTAATGTTACAGTTGAGATTGGAAATTTACTTTAGTCACAAAACGGATCAAACATATAGGAAATGTCACATGCACATCACCTTTGACTGTCAGCAAATGTTATGCAGCTCACTATATTTGCTCCCCTTGCAAATATGGATAATTATGATGCAAATGTGCAAATTTATGATACAGCCAAATGTCTAGAAATTTATTGTTTTTGCTCTTAAGGCAAATACGAGTAAACCACATGCAAAAGTGTTCTTTTGGTATCCTGGAAAAACAAGAGCAAATACCACTGCAAATTAGGGGTTTTGCAATATTTTTGCCTGCATTTGAAGTAAAGTGAAAACTGTCATTTTTGCCAAGGATGTAAATTTGAGTAAACTGGTAGAAATGTTGAAGATTTGCCCATGCTGCAAATATGTATCAAATTTGTATCAAACCATTACATTTTCTTCACTTTTGCGTATCAATACCTATCTAGCAAATATATGTATTTGCCCACACCTTAGCCGACAGCGCAAATGTAATGCAAATTTGGAGCTCCAAATTTAGCACATATTTGCACCTTTCGCAAACATTAGTAAATCCGTTTTTTCGTCCAGTGCTTAATGCAGGATTTAGTTTATTTCTTTCCTCTCCGTCTTTCGTTTGTAAGGAGTTTCGTATGATTATGTCAATGAAAATCTTTCATGTTCTTGGATAGTACCTTTGGTGAGAACAGACCAGTCTTAGGAGCCGGATGTCAAACGCTTCCGTTGTTGTAAGTAGCACGAGTTGTTCCAGAGCATGGTGACACTCCCATTAAATTTAACGTTGCGGAAAAGAAAAAACCTGCAATTCGACATCTTGGCACTGAATAACTCCACCATTGTCCTGAGGTGGTGGCTTGAAACGTGGAGTCTCAATCTTTCTTGAAACTCTTTTCCTTGAGCTTCTAAAGAACGGCGTGAAAAATGACCAAACAATATTGTTAAGGCCGCTGCGATAATTTTTACTGAACATAAAGTATATTGCTGGATTTATCGAAGAATTAATATATGTTAAATATAAGCTACATTCTCCAAAAAATTTCACGCTACAGGGAGGTTCTAGGTTTTTGTTAAACCAGGTGAAAGTAGCTACGTAATGATAAATTAAGAATGGAAACCAACAAACGCCGAAAGCAACCACCACCGCAATTAACATACGAAGCACCTTCCTATTTCGACTAAGACAAAGACTACGTCTGCTTGCCTCCTCTGGTAAGGTCATTCGTCTAATTCGAATAATAATTGTAACGTAGAGGGCGGTTATGACGAAAAATGGAATGAACACAAATATGATCGTATGGACAAGAAATTGAATTTTCGAGGCCTTAAACCTATCTTCGAAGAGGGGCTCCCAGGTGTGTACACAAAATGCTCCTTCTTCTAACTTGAAAGCGTACAAATCCACTGCATGGATCACACACGCCACCATCCAAGTGATTGCAATAAGTAATATACATCGCGTCTTTTGAGAAGTGTTTTGGATAACTGGACGCGTAATAGCGTAGTATCGCTCGCTTGCAATTATCAGTAGGCTCAGTAGTGAAACAGCCACGGTTATGTCTTGGAAAAAGTAAACAACCTTGCATAAGGCGTCACCTAAACTTCCTCCAATAAGCCAAGCAAGTTGATCAGTGAATGTCTGGGTAATCACCCTTGGGATGACAAACAGGGTGCATAGAAAATCGGAAACGGCCACATTGACGATTAGCAGGTTTACAATTGTCCTCATTCGACGCTCTCTATAAACCACCATGATTACCAAAGCGTTTCCTAAGGTGGATGTAATGAAAATAACTGCGCAGACGGCAGTCGCTCCGATCTCCCTTGTTTCGCGATCCACACCATCGCACTCTATCTTATACTCAGAGTTCGGTGTTTTTGTGCCGTTGCTGGTATTCATGTTCCTTTGAAATTCTTTAAACCTAAAAGTACCGTTTTTGTTCTTCAAATCCCCAATATCTCTTCGCCCAGATGAGTAATGCTTTAGGAAGTTTAAATGGTTCAATTAGACGCGCTTCTCTTGTAGATAAGGTATATGGTATAACTGTCGGTTGAGGTAGTATAATAAACTCAGATAACCAATGATCAAAACCATAGTTTTCTTTAGCAAACAAACAACAAAAACTGACCTGATTACTTGTGTCAGCCAACAGCTGTTCCAATAAAATCCTATGAAGCCTTTTCGCCACTTTGGGGAGATTTTCTCTAAAACCACGATAGAAATGTCCGGTTTAATTTGGAAAAATTGAGAACGCTTTCTTCCATCGTTGTTGATTTATCTTTTAATCTTCTCCGCTTCTTCTGGTAATGGCTATGTTTTGCGAATCACAAAACAGATGAAATCCAAGAAGATGATTGCCTTATCTAAAAAAAAAGTAATTAAAGGAAATTCCAAGTGTAGTAATTAGACTAACGTCCGGTAAAAATCATTTTTCAAAATTTCGCCCTTAAAATTCATGAAACCCTGAATCCGATTCCATAACAAAATTTGTTTTTCCAAGGGACGTCTAAATTAAAACTTTCAAATTGAACTGATTTTTTCAAAGAATCAGTATACAGCAGTGTAGAAATAGATTTATAGTTAACCAAAAGCTTCAATTTGCACTTCTGCATCACATTTTCACCTGCGCAAGATAAAGGGAAATATAGATAATTTCTCTACCGAAAATAACTTTTGGTAACATATTGTGTGTTAAATGATAAATTTCCATGACGTGACATCCGAGATCCAAAATTAATTTATGATATAATCGCAAGGCATTTAAAAACAAAACATATATATTAAAAAAAAGGCGTTAGTGTCAGCTTATTTCTTAAAATTACGCAAAACTGCATCTTACAATTGTTTTCGGTTTTGTTGCGGATATGGGTAGAGATGGGCGCGTGTTCAATTTCCTGTTTTTCGTGCATCTGATACGTGAAGACTAAACGTTTTAAAAGCAAGGGTACTGACAACGGTATTTTACCTTGATTTATAAAAAAAATGGTATCCTGTAATTTTCTCCTGTTTCGCCGAGGGCATATCAATACGGAAAATATCCATACAAAACTTATTAGGTCAAGGCAAGTCAGCAAAGTAAACTTTACATTTTATTTATCGGCCGTATCAAATCAGCAAGAACTACTCCCTCTTTTTGCTCGCTTTAGCATTTATTCTTGGAACTACTGGAAAAAGAGAAATTTGGACATATATCTGACATTATTAATGTTAGAAGAAAAATAAAAGAAACTTTGTGGATAAAGAAAAAATAATTTTAGTTATAATTACTTGTTATTGTGTGTTTGTTCTAATCCATCTTCATTCATTATAAGACCTGCTGGCGTCGCTCACCTCAATTGTGAACAAAATTAACAACGCACGTCTCCATACCGGCTTGTTACTTACAAGTTCAACATCTTACGATATATCAAACGCGAAAAGGAGTGTTTCGTCTGATATTCCGACACCAACAATTGAGTAAAAGATATAACAATATATAGGGGGTGATTGAACACACTATGAATACAATAATATCCCAAAAACAAATGTAGAGTTTCTGTACAACATTTTGTGAACCGTTTCGTATTATATCAGATACCAATTCGCCTTTTCAAAAATGTCATGGAAAATCGGACACAATTTTTTGGAGAAGAGATTTCTGGGACCTGTCGGTGAACAAAAAAGCAGTAATTTGTCAATGTTTCCCTCAAGAAACCATCGACCAATCATAGCAACAAATCAATCTGGCAACCAAATAGTCTGCTTCACAGCCGTTCTTTGTGTCCTCACGCAACGCTGCTCCACACACACGGCTGCTGAGAACCGAACCACATTCCTTTCCGCATATTATCCAATCAGATTTCAGCTGCCATTTTCAGGAAGGTCGCACCACGTTTACACTACGGTGACTCCTCCATCACAGCTTTGCTCTTATCGGTTCCCAATGGGTGAATGACAGAACAATAAAAACTGTCAAAACAAGCAGTCAACGAGTAGTGTTGTCGCATTTGAGTCCTATTCAAAATTTACATTGTATGAGATAAGCAGCAGCAGCAGCAAGCACGTAGAGAAAATGTGATCATGGTTAGTAGAGGGGACTGGCCAGTACCCTCTACTAGTATCATGTTCGTTCGCCTTTAAAGTGTGAACACTCCGGCTTCACGCGCATATCACCTGACTCCTTAGTTCCAGACCAATTGCTTCATAAAATCTCAGTCAAACTTCGACTTAAGGTAAGTCCCGTTTAACTATATAGTTTCTTGTACATGATTGGTTTGTTCGTTAGTACAAACACAAAGGGAAAGGAATGTGGTTCGGTTCTCAGCTGCCGTTTATAGGGAGGAATGTTGTGTGACGACACAAAGAATGGCTGTGGAGCAGACTATCAACCAAACGATCTAAGAAATTGTTGTGCCAACTGCTGGGCCCATTCTTCATGGTGGTCATGTCTAGCCAGGGCTTTTTTTATTTTGATTAAGAGCGACGGTCAGGAAATATCGACCAAGGAGTGGCAAGAGTTGAAAAAATCGATTTCCTTCATTTTTTGTCCATAAATAGCTTTTAGGTAGATAAGTAAACTGATGTAAGTTGTTCTCGCAAAAAGCCTTTTACTTTCGAGAAAAGTAAGAGTATCAGTTTTCGTGGTCGGAGTCTCAAAATGGCCGTATTTTCAACCCGAAATTTGCTAACATCAACTCTCGTCGCGTTCGCAAATAAAGCCGCAAGGAGAAATTTGGACACTTTCCATCAATAGAACAACTCTTCTTCTTTGACCAGAAGATACTTTCAAAGCAATATCAAGACTCGTTGAACTAACATAATTCAAAAACGAAGAACAGGTTTTTACGGTGACAAAAACTTTAATTTAGTAGTTGTTTTCTGCGGCATTATTCTTCATGTGGTATAGCCCCAAATTTTCCCGGTCCTCGATTATTCACCCATTTAGACATTCATCTAAAGCATACCTGAGAGTTGGCTTGGGTTCCTTTCAGCAGCCTCCAAACGAAAGCATCGAAGTCCGGTAAAAATAGTGAAGCGTGACCAAAACTCCCTGGTTTAACGGCCGCAAGTTTCCTCGATCGTAAAGTAACAAGACGAAATATCTTCCTATTCCGTCATCCTTAGCGAATTACCATTATTAAAGTCCTTATTTTCGATGAAAAGTGAGTACCAGAAAAAGCGCGTTTGACTTTTTCTTCTTCAAAATACTGTCCGGATCGAAAATGTTACTCTTTCAAGAATTGCGTTGCGTTACTACCGTGATTCCGTGACTGTCATTTTGACGGCTCCGTCTCTTCAAAGGTAGGTTATGTCACGTGCAGTTACGAAACAGATTGTCACGCAGCCGTCGCCGTCTGGTAGAGTTCAGTGTTTCACAATGGCAAAAATTGACCCAGTTTCACCTTTTTACCCCACTCTTTGACTGGAAAAAGGAATTTTACAATGGCGAAACCTACAAGAGGTACAAAAAAATGAGCCTTGGGCTGTAAATATCTACTTTTGTGCGTTTCGAAATTGGAAGTGTTGACACAATTACCGCCGGCCTGTCATGAAAATTCCTGAACTTCGATGGTGTCTTACAGAGATTACATTCAATAATCCAAGCCAGTTCCCAGGTATGTTTTAAATGAATGTCCAAGTGTGTGATTTAAATAGCATTAAGAGAATTTGGAGTTAAACCACACGTTAAATATTGCTGTCGAAAATGAGTAACGATCTTAAGTTTTTGTTATCCTGAAAACCTATCCCTCATTTTTGAATTATTTCAGTACGACGAGCTTCGCTATTGCCCTGAAAGTATCTTTTAGTGGAAGAAAAAGAATTTTTCTGTTCATGGTCAAAAAATTTGTCCATGCTGCTTCCTTTGCGAACGCGAGGAAAGTTAATGTTAGCGAATTTCAGGTTAAAAATTAAGGCAGACGGAGACTGATCTTCTAATTTTTCTCACAACTAAAAAGCTTTCGGCAGGAACAATCTACTTCAGGTTTCTTATCTACCTAAAAGCTATCTATGAACAAAAAATGAAAGAAATTGAGTTTTCCACTCTTGCCACGAAATTAAGATTTTGGTCGATTTTTCCTGACCGTCGCTCTTAAGCAAAATTATTCTATTTTCAGTTTGCCATGAAAATGACAAAGATAATCCGCTTTTTAATAATAATAATAATAATAATAATAATGGAAATAGTGATTTATTGTGAAGCGATTTACTGTAGCTGACGTTTTATATGCTCGAAGCAATGTTGCCTATAAACAGAAGTTAAATTACGGAGAAAAAAGGAAGGCAAATATTTTCGAAAATTGTTCGTAAGGGCAAGTTAATAGGGCAGAGAACACTGCAGATAAACAACGCTCATCTCGATAAAAATAAACTTTCTCATTCACGGTGAGTTAACAGAAGCAATAAAGCTCTGTGTTTCTTCGCAGAAAGGGGAGTTAACTAAACTTTCGACGTTTGACGCTAAGGCTTACAAAAAATTAAAACTACGATTTGCCTTGTTTGAAAATACTGTAAAGATCTAACTTTTGCGCTTCAACTGTTTTTGGCTACATGTTCACGCATGAATTCGCCTGTCAATCACACTAATCGTTTTTTTAATGGTTTCCTTTCTGATTCTGTTGAGATCACTTCGTGTGTATTTTTTAAGACGATTATTGGTCTGAGGTTCAGATAATATAATTAACAGTTAATGAATGAGGCTGAGTAACTTATGAAGAATTATGGAGATCGATAACACCCTCCGAGATCTCCATAATTCTTCATATGATACGAAAGCTGAATTCAATAACTGTTTTATTATTCATTCAAAATAATTCCAAGTTTAAAAACATAGCTTAAACATGCTTACCTCCATCGATCCATCGATGTTTAGTTGATCTTCGATAGTGTACGTTTAGGTTTGTCCAGCTCCGCAAATATTCTCCAAATAGCAGATGTCGCCCTTCGAGTTGTCTTCTCGCTGTTCTTGCCGTGTTTTTAGCTATTTTTTCGCCTAGTTCTTACTCTTGAAACGAGTGAAATGTCCGCCATTTTTTCGGTTCACAACCAAAACAACTCAACCTCGTCCCTAGGTCTTCTCGGTTAACGGTGCCTTAACCTGCGAAAACGCTGCATTTTTGACGTCATTTCCTCGTTAAAGTCAAAATTCTTCCAAATTTGGTCATCAGTAACTGGTTATGGTGAATTAAACGCGTGCTTTTAGCCAATCAGAATTGGGGAAATATTTTGAATGAATAATAATCAATATCAACTTCGCCTGCGTCGAATAATTGTTTAATATAAGCCATATAGGAATAGGCCACCCCAAAAGGGATGGTTTTTACACCGTTTTGGTCTGAAAACAGGTATGGAGTCTGGAATCGGGTATGGTTTTCGAGAGAACTACAGGAGTGTATAAACGTATTTATCGTTTCGATTCCAAATGAGAAATAACGAAAAGAAAAATAAAGTAATGTATGTTTACAGGCTGTAAGAAATTTTTTTGTTGCTGATCTAGTCTAAGTAATGATGACATGATTTCTTAGAGATCAAGTCTGAAAACGGGTGTAAAAAATGACATTTTTTTGGTCACGTCTGAAACAGGGTCAGGATTTGGAGAACCGGGCGATACACCCCCACCAAGAATTCCCAGGACCCCCCCTCCCGAATTATTTTCATAAAAATCGATATTCAGTAGGCTATTGTCTAATCCTTTCGGAATTTGAACGTTTGTGACTTCATGCAGTTATATAACAAGGTGACCTTGTAATGGATACAGTCATAACCGAAATGGGCATTATACGGTTAAATCTCGCTCACAGCCTAGTTAACGGGGCTTTTTCCGTTAGAAAATGGGAAGGGAAAAAGCCCTGCGAACGAAGTTGCTATGCTCTTAAAAATGTCTGACTAACTCTCGAATTCGCTGGAAATAAATTTATTTATTTCTTTAAATGAACCCGCCCTCAGTTAATACCAAGACGGTTTTGTCAGACCGTGAGTACATG